CTCTTACCCTTAGTTAGCTTTTCAGATTTGCCTTCAGCTGGGAATTCACTAGCCAGATATAGGTGGTTATTCTGGATTGTTCAACACTTACTGGAAGCATTACATGCATCATCATTGCTAGCCCTTTTCTGATTCAATACTGTTTGCTCTCTGTCTTTCTTGAAAACTGAATAGCTGTAAAATTATCCATTAATCTTCCAGATTTCCTGCTGGTCGTTTTCCTATCTCTCTCTCTCTCTAGACAAAAGGTGTACTTTATTGCCATTTCTGGAACAAAATTTCAAATTTCTCAGTCCATTTTCTCAGGTTTTCTCTCTATTTTTTTCAATGCAGTGCTCAGCTATTTCTGTTGTCACAGTCGGTGTCAAGGAGCCCAGTTTATAGAAAGCAAATAACTGCTTCTAATGCAAGTGTATCGCCATGTACTGTATATATGTGTGACTGTGTGTGAGAGAGACAGAGAGAGATCAAGCCTCATCATCCCAGAATATACAACAATGCTCCTATCAGACTATATGTAGACCATCTAATGCAACCATCATACGTCTGTCACTTCTTGTATACAGATGTTCAGAGGGCTCGTTACTGCTACACTGTGTCTAAGGCATCACACCATATGGTCTTTTGTATTTTATGTCATCAAACGACAAGCTAGACAAGACATCAAAGTGCTTCTGTTAAAGGCTGAGGCCATCCTCAGTGTTCTCAGTATTAGGTATTCAATAAAACATTTGATCAGGGTCTGGTCTTCTTTTCCTTTCCTTTCCCTTCTGTGTTCTATAAGATATGAAAAAAATGTACAGTGAAAAAAATGTAACCAGTTTCTGGGGATTTGGGATGGATGAAGCAGTGGTGGCTTCTTTACTCTTTGCATCATATTCACAGAGACCTCAGAAGACTTTTTTCCAATGAAAGGAGTCTCCCTTCCAAAAACAATGAGGAGCATTTACAGCATCAAAGAGGCCCTACACTTGTCTTCCATGTGTGTGTCACAGGGAGGGGGGAAGAAATATTCTTTATATTTAAAGCAGCTGCTGTCAGCTATCAGTAAAGCCACTGACTAACTGCTCACATTCTTATGCAGAGAGGACCAGAGTGTTTGACCTGTGACCCGAGTATTCTTCCATGTTGGGAGTCTGCCACCTCTGCTCAACATTGCAGCCAGAATAGGTTAAGATCCTCTCAGCCTCTTTTGTTTAACTAGAAGTTTCTACCTCCCCACCCCCATGGGGCCAGGAAGCTTCCCATCCCTTGTAATTTTTGAATTTAGGGGAAGTAAATCATAAAAGTATTTTCTGATGACAGAAAATACAAAATAGCTATACACCTTCACAGACTGCTGCCTTGTTGTGGCGAAGGGGCTTGAGTAATTCAGAGAAGCTAAGGGCTACGCCGTGCAGGGACACCCATGATGAACAGGTCATAGTGGAGAGTTCTGACTAAACGCGATCCACCTGGAGCAGGAACTGGCAAGCCACTCCAGTATCTTTGTCAAGGTAACCCCATGAACAGAAACAGAAGGCTAAATGTAAAGAGAACAAGCTGGTCATCACAAACACTCTTTTCCAACAACAAAAGGGGTGACTCTACACATGGACATTACCAGATGGGCAATACTGAAATCAGAATCGTGATGATGCTTTGTATCTCTTTGATTATGACCCAGCTTCTTGGACACTGGGCATACCTAGCTGTAGGTATACACAAGAAACGAGCAGTGTGTAAGCATCTCCATAGGAAAGATATGGTTCAAAGAGGTGTTCTTAAGGAGTCTCACTGAACCTGAAAAGAGGGAAGCTTGCTAGCCCTCCTTCATGTAAAATAAAAGATCTGAAGGGGAGAGCTGCTTCTGTCCATGGAAACTCATCTTGGGTGCCAGAATGTAGAAAAATCAGGAAACTGGCTGATGTGCAAAGCTTCCAACAGTAGAAAAATTCTCCTCTCCAGACCTATTAGTTGCCATAAAAGCATAGCAAATGATGGGGAAGATGGGAAAGCTACTGCACTTCTTTCATGTTGAAAAAACACTTTTAAGAAGGGTCTGGCCACATTGTGTTCCTTAGGAGCAACTCATGGTAAACTAATCATGTAATAGATAGATAGGCAGAGAGGCAGACAAGATGGCCAGGAAGGGGGTTGAGAGACACACACGCTCTATTCAGCTTTCCAGCAAAAGGGTTGATTTTAATCCATGATGGGAGGCCGCAGACTCGCCCCACCCTGCTGTGTCCTACCTCTGTGGGCTGTTTGCTTTACGAAGTACAGTAATAGCAACACTGTTTTTGAACATCTCAATAGGGCCAGACAGACAGACAGATAGAATTAAATAGTTTAGAAACAACAATGTGTTCGGTTCAGCCTACGCCCACAGTTGTGATGAAATCACCTTTCTCCCACGTAAACCATTATTTACATGGGGGATGGAAGTCTCTGTTGGTGCTGGCTGAGTTAGGAGGTATGGCGGTGGACGGGAAGGTGCAGAGCCTACATGGACTGAATAATTTCTTGGTAGTCAAGAAAGCCATTTATCCCTGGAAGGAGGGGAAGAGAGCAACACAGGATACAATTTTTTGTGCCTTCTTGTCTTTTTATCAGGGTAGCAGGGACATGGTGAAGAGTAACCCAACAGGAAAGAAGTCTAAATGAGTAAGGAAGGAAGGATGTCAGCATGTACAGCAGCAAAGAAACGGGGATAAGGTCTGCCCTTCGCTAGGACGGTAAATATCCTCGCCAACCACATGGGAAAGAGAGAGGGTGGGGAGAGAAAAGAGGAAGCCCAGTTCTGCACAAACACCACATGCCCTCCTGCCATAACCATTATGTTCTGTGTTGTGTCACCTGGACAATTTATTACCACATGAAAAGGGATTTGTGCCAAAGGGAAAAGAAATCTGGAAGCAGAGATGTTTGTAGAGCATGAAGCCCTAACGTAGGTTTCTTAACCATGTGTAAATGGGATTTACAGGGTCTTCATGCATCATTGATGCAACGGCTATACTGGAAACAGAAACTCGAGCTTTATATTCCAGGGAGTATCTCACTCAGTGTGGGGCTGTGACATCGAGTTTTCTGTTTACCCCTTAGGCTGGCATGGTATTAGCTTAAAAGTTTTTGACAAAGCCTGCTTTTAAAAAGAGAGAAAAGAGCTAATGCTGAGCAGCAGATTAATACTTGCACAGCACAGGGGAGACATTCAGAAGCACCTTTGCCCCTGCAAGAACTTAGGGAGGAGCTGAGTGATGCTCTCAGTGTTCATAGCTCTCACATGTAGAGAACAACACATCAGACACTTTATTGAAGTTTTTTCTCTCACCCTTCCTGACTAAAAATGTGGGCTCCAGTAGACCTCAATTCTGGTTTACAAAAAACAAACACCGCTTGTCTTAGTTAGCGGGCTTGGGGGTGAGGAAAAAGGTAGCTCAACACATCTGTAATACACCAAGCTGTGGAGGTTGCTATAGAAATTTAGAGTTCAGATGGAAGCAATAAAGTAGGTGCAATATTTGCCTTAAGTTACATTCATTTCTCTAAATGTAGCATAGAGAAACGACAGTAACTATCCGAGAGTCTAATTTGTTTTTAATATGTCTGCACTTATTTCTGGTATGGTGTTGACTTCCTCTTGGAAAAGGAATCACAGAAGAAAACTGAATAGCCCTGGTTAATCTATTCCATTGCTATTTCACCTTTCTAGACAGAGAAATAAAGAAATCAGTGGTGATAATTTGCCTACAATGATGGTAACGATTTACACAGAATAAACAGAATTAAGAGTGAATCACAGTTTTTTTTCTAAAGTTGAGAAGAATTAAATGTTGTATACAAACAGATAAAACTGAGTGATCACTGGTATTTCAGTATAGAAATCGTATACATAAGTAAATAAGTGAATAAGTAAATAAGTGAATAAGTAGACAAACAAACAAACAAAACCAAGCAAAAACACTGATGACACATTAAAACATATTCAGGTGAGCCATAAAGAAGGCAAATCAGCTTGATGGCTGTTGAAATAAAAAGGCATTTGTCTGGCTACAGAGAAACAGGCTAAGGAGCATTGAGGGCTGCAGGGGTGAAACACTCCCAAAGTCTGGGTATACAGTTATACGGATGGGCCCTCTGTTATGTCCCCACCATGTTGTGGAACATCAATGAATGCAACTAGTGATCTGAACCAGAGAAGGGACAACAGGCAAATAGATATCCATGGTGTGTTTTCTACTTTTGTTCTTTGCTAGATCTACATCTGGATTGATATTCTTATGGTTCTTTTCTCCTTTGCTCTCTGAGGTCACTTCTTCTGTCTCCTTTTGTTATTTACAGAAATTGATTGTGGTTTTTAGAGTGTTTGGTTTCTATCAATTTGATCCTGGATTGTGACGTATTCTTTCCATCAGACCTGCATGCATAGAAGCCAGTTTTAGGGGCCCATGTGTCCAAATCTGGCAATTACTTTTCCTCCTGCACCACCTCTGAATAGATTTCCTAGGTAATAAACATTAGCCCTAAGTTTACATTTCATCTCTTTGCTCTCTCCTAGGTTCTAGAGTGATTACTTCTTTTCAATATCACAAATTCAGCACTAGGTCACTGCCCTCTGCAAGATTAAATGCCAAATAATGCCAACACATTAAATAGATCGAAAAGAGGTTTTGGATTGAAGACGGTAAATGCAATGGATTATTAAAAGCATGACTAATGGAAAGGGGTGGTCAATTTGATTGTTTTATTGCTCTTCTTTATTAACAGATACTACCAAGTTTGGCATAATAGAAGCTCATTTATTTTACGTCATTAGAAAATCCTTACCCCTTTTCTCTGGCCTGCCTGGTTTACGTCCCTTGAGAGGAGAAAGACATGAGAGGGCTCAAGGTGTGGCTTGCTGTTTGAATCCAAACAGCAACACCTCCAGCAAAGCTGTTACATAACATTTATTCCCCCCCCTTTCTGAAGGGAGCCATCCAGCCTTCTAGTTTTGCAGTAGCAAGATGTAAAATTACCTGATAGAGCGGCATGCAGATGCTATCAATCCATTCCAGCTGCAATCGAGGCAGTTCATCTTTCCTGTTCCGGTCAAAAATGGCCTGAATTTAAAAGAGAGGAGAGGGAGAAAAAGAGAGAGAGAAAAGAAGAAGAAGAATACATCACACTTTATTACTCTTGAGTACTTTACAGGTGCCGTTTCATCCAACACATTGAATCCAGGATCAAACTGATAGAAACCAAACACTCTAAAAACCACAATCAATCTTCATGCCCATTTTCCTATCTTTTGTCTAGGATGAAAAATAAGCCATTTATTCCCTGGCCCTGTTTACGGCCTATGCAAGTTTAATTTATCTGACAGTTATACCATGTAATGCCTTAACGTCAAACAAATATACCATATTGTTGGCATTCATGATGCTGTAAGCAGAGGGAAGAGGAGTCGCTGGGAGATTTGAAGACGCTGAACTCATCATCCCTCAGCTGTTCCTGAAGGGAGCAGAGCCCAGCAGTTCCAGAGATCTCTGTTTCGACCCAGAGTCCCTCTGAGGTTAACGGGAGCTATACCCAACTGAGTGAGGATGAGCCTCGATGCATGAATTGCATGGGCTGCATTTCTTGCGGCACTGGTGGCTACAGAACAGAACAGCATGCCTTCCTGTGGGACAGCTTACGCGGTCCCTGTGGCCAACATCCAAGGCTGCAGTTCCAGGGCCTCCAAATGAGGCATCCAGAGAATGGCAAAGGATGGGCCAGCAGTAAACGGGCCCAGTATCAGCAGAGCTGGGATGGCATGAACAAACTGGATCTCTGCCCCTGCTTGCTGACGCATCTTTTCTTTCTTTTTTTAAAAGTATGGTCCCCGGGTACCTGGCTTGGAATGCATCTGTATCTGATTACAGATGCTCATGTCAATTCTTTTTTCTTTTTTTAAAAAAAACATTATCTGGTTGTACAACTAAATACAGCTTATTTCAAAGCTAATAGCATCAGAGCAGCAAAGGCGAATTCCACTTTATCCCTGTGTTCCTGATGAGGTTGTGCCTTCAGCATAAAAAAGGTAGTGGGGAGAGGGATGAATGACAGTTGTGTGATTCACAGCTGATGTAAAACACATTGGTCCAAATCCTGTTGCTTAGTGTAGTAAATCACATACTGCAGTAGGCTCACTGAATCAGTGGGAGTTTGCTGAGTCAACTGCTCCATAAGTTCCACTGATTGAAATGGGTGTACTCTAACTCCAGCTAACTTTAGCACTTTCCCCATTTACTCAATAGAGAGAAGTTGACTCACCAAATCTCCTTTGATTTAATGGGCTTACCCTAGCACAATTCACTGTGCTAAGCATTAGGACTTTGGCCACTGTCATATAAAGCAGGTATCTTCATAAGACAGTTACATCTAGGGTCAAAACTTACCTAGCTGCTCTACTCCTTGAAGTCTGTAGACTCTAGGCTAAATCTAATTCTTAGTCCCAGCTAGAATAGATCTGAGGAATCAATGGGATTTACCTTCATATTGATTTAACAAGTCCCATTCATTCAGTGGTTCTATTCTGGTTGGGACTAATAACTGGATATAACTCTTTAAGGTGAAGCTTGAAAGTTGCCACCACGTCTGCAGCCTCTCCACTTTAGCTCTCAGACTATGAAAACTGAAAAGCCAGGTCTATGAAATAATAACAGAACATACTCCTTCCATCTCCCCCATCCCCTTTCTGGGGGGAGGGCATGTCTTCTAGGCTAGTTGTGTTCTGATTCAAACATGGGTGTCACCAGCTAAACTGTAGTAAGGTAATTGGACCCTGCTTTTGCTGTTTCTATTAACTGAACACCTCTCAGCTTGTATCTTAGCAGCACCTTATACAATCCGGAGAACATTTCAAGCACTGGAATCCTGCAGGTGGCTTTTAATCTCTGGGTGCTCCCTCAGACTTTTCAACATCTACATGAAGTGACTGGGAAAGTCAATGGAGGGTGATTGGGTTAAAATGCTAACACTATGAAGATGACCCACAGCTTTACTTCTTGTTTCCACCTACTGATCCCAGGGAGTATCTGGAACTCATCTGGTTTGAGATAGTTTTGGGAGAGATGGTGATGAACAAGCTGAGACTTAATCCACCTATGACAGAGGTACTGTGTTCGGAGAAAGTAGCTTATCTAGATGGAGGTGTATAGCCATTCTGCAGCTCAGGAGTCCAACTCAATGCTGAGACCAGAAGCTGAGAGGTTCGTTCCATGGGGCTGCACTGTGGAAGCTTCATTTGGTGGTGAATATTATGGCTCAGATACAGTACTTGTAATGGCTACTTTTGAAGAACATTACAATGAGCATCAAGACATCAGTTGAGAAATGTGTCTCTCCTGTACCTGCACGATTTTCTCCATAGTGTGATCTGCTTTGTTACATGTGACACTCGAATTAGAAATGGAAGAGAAGTCATTGCTAGTATTGACTTTTAAAACCTAAATTATATGGGACCAGGCTATCTGAAAATTTCTCTTCCACAAAAAAACTAGGGAGGAGAACTGCAAGAGAACTGCCTAGCAGACGAACCATCATGGTGGCTCATTTTAAAATCATATATTGTTTAATTTGTCTTTTAATGTTTAACTTTTTGTGTTTTTTAATTCTGTGAATTTTAATGTTGTGAGCTGCTTTGGGTCCCTTGTTGGGAGAAATGCGGCATATAAATAAAACAACAACAGCAACAACAGCAACAACAACAACAACAACAACAACAACAACTACTACTACTACTACTACTACTACTACTACTACTACTACTAATAATAATAATAATAATAATAATAATAATAATAATAATATAGGAATAAAACATTGGACTATTGTTTTTAAGTTCATGATACATTCAAAATCATCTTCTATTACATGCTAGCCGCGGACCAATAAGATGGGTTCACAGCCTTTAATGCTTGAGGAAAAATAGATCACATACAAAATGATAGGGGGAAAAGTAAGTCAGGCCAGTCTTGAAATAGTACTTGCTTGTAGAAATATATGGCTATTTTCCTTTCAAATACCATGCTGTAGTAAATTAAACTCATCAGTGTCAAACGATGCAACAAGATAAAACCTATGACCGAATACACTTCTACTGCCTAGAAATGTCATGTCTGTTCCTATCTTTTTATGAAAACTGGATAATATTCTTTGATTTAAGTCAGTGACAAAACCACTATTTCTTTCTTTTTTTAATTACTAAAGTTCTGGTCTTACTAAAGAATATGGTGACCATCGCCATCCCAGTTTCTGAGGAATGTTTGGTTGTTCTTTCTTTTTAAAACAGGTAGCTTTAGAGATTTTGTTTCATATTTACATCAGCTCCTTGTGACTCAAAAAGAATACTGTAGAATGATAAAAACTGGTATATATCTGTTTATGTCTTGCATTATCTTTCCACTACACAATAACATATAATTTCAAATACCTGTATAAAAGATGAACTTACAGAAGGTGTGAGCTTGAGTTCTGATCTCTCTCTGTCTCCTTGTTCAAAGAACTCACTGGTTACCAGTTCAGCTACCTAAAACACATTGCACGTTTTTCAGTTAGGGTTTGTACTGTTTGTTAAGAGCAATGAATTTCTTGACTAAAGCACCAATTAAGTGAAAGGGTGTGCGGCTAGAGCATCACGTGGCTGACCGGCTGTATATGTCACTCCTCCATCTGTTTTGCAGGTTCTGGGCATTTCCTTTCCCTGAATAATAACGATGTGCCATCAAGTCAATTCTGATTTAAGGCTACCCTTTCCAGGGTTTCCGAAGCAGAGAGTAACTCAACATTCCCTTCTTTTAGCTGGAAAAAAAATTACCCCTCTCCCCCGGCATCACTTTTCCTGGAAACTTTCAGGTACTTTTTCCATAAAAAAAAGAAACAAGGCTCTATTCATACCTGTTTTGGCCCTCCCCCACCCAACTGTCAAAAAGATTTTACAAAAGTAGAGGTAGACTGTTGGCCGCATCCAACTTCAGTGGGTAGGGTGGCCGGCAGAAGGTCCCAGGAGCCTAAAGGTGCTCCTTGAACCTCTAGATCTTGCCTGCTTCTAAAATGAAGAGATTAAGCACACATCGTATTTTAAGAATAAGGTGGCTTGAAGTCTTTGCTGAAACACAGCCAGAGTATCTGAATAGTGACTAAAATGAGCTTTTAAATCTTTTTGATACTGTTGGAACGCCGCATCAAATGCAAACGTCTTGAAGAAAAGTCACATACTTGTATGACTCCTCTATAGGGCACCAGGAGAAATGTGACATAAACTCACTATTGGTTCATTCCATGCTTGGCCCATATTTGAATCCTTTGTAGCACTACATGTAAACAAGTTTTTTAAAAAAGGAGCATCAAGTCATAGTGTTTCCCTGCTCTGACAGGCCTCCTGTTTGAGGGACCATCACACAACAGATGGTCATTTGCCCCCCCACTTCAGGATGAAAGATTACGGGAATTGGAATCCAAGATATTTGGGGGGTGGCACAGGGTTCCCCATACCACTTTTAAACTATATATATACAGTGGTGCCTCGCTTAATGAGCGCACCGTATAACGAAGAATCCGTATAGCGATCCCTTTTTGGGGATCGCTATACGGAGCTGCCCAATCGCCGCACTCGCTTTGCAACGATTGGGGCGTCCGGCGGCCATTTTGGAGCCGCCGAACAGCTG